CCCGCCCCCTTTACCCTTCGAAAGGAGTGCTCAAATGAGCCAAGATGAGAGGTCGTGACTCAAGCCCCGGCGCCGCGCCCGCCTCGCCCCTCCTCCCTCACAAAGTACTTTGTGTCCTCCACCTCCTCCCCTCTCTCCCTCTCCGCTCGGAGACAATACCCCTCTCCTGACAAAGAGGGGCATCCGCCCGGCCGCGGCCCCGGGCAGCGCGGTTTCCAGTCTCCTACATGCAGGCGGTGCCCCCCCCCCCCACACACACACACACTTGCACTTTTTCACGCTGCTGGGAGACTTCAGCTGTTCGACGGGCTCACGGTTACTAACAGGCGCGGTTTTAAGTCCGTCGGACGGAGGAGGCGGTGTACTGTAGGTTGCCTATTTTCAGGGGCATTATACGACAAATTGCTCACCTATGCTACGAGCGGTTTGGGCCGCGACAGGGTGGGGGTGAGGGGGTTGGGGGTCGCCCCCCCCCCACCCCTTACGTACCCTTGGGGGCAATTTGAGTCGGCGAGGGTGGGGGGTGGGTCGCACCTTCGCGTAGTAAGATAGGCGATGCCACCGCGGTCGTTGTGCCTCCGGCATAATCAAGTTATTCTCCGCCGTGTTGCAGAGAGAAAGAGCTCGAGTTCGTGGACGCCGTCAACACGACGCACTCCAACCAGGGCTGGCACGTGTTCAACATGACGGGCCCGCTCACCAACTGGGTGGCCTTCCCCGGCTCCAACCTGGGGCTGTACCTGTCTGTGAGGCCCGCGGCCGCGGCCGCCGCCGCCCCCGCCGAGCGACCCGGCCACGAGCTGCGGCCCGAGGAGATCGGCCTGGTGAGCGCGGGCGGCGAGGAGGAGAAGCAGCCCTTCATGGTGGCCTTCATGAAGGCGAGCCCGGCCAACGCCAAAGTGAGGACGACCCGCGACACTGGCCGGCGTCGGCTCAAGAAGGCTGACGTGTCTGCTGTGGAGCCCAATCTGCCGAGGAACCCCTTCGGTCAGTTTAGATCAGCCTTTTCTTTTTCTCATTCTAGCTGTCACCCACCCCATCGCGCAAGTGAATGACTTTATTTGTGCGCTGTTCTGTCTATTGTCCCCAGATCGGTCGCTGTGGTCTGCTAGAACCTGTCAAATTAAGAATTTATATGTGAGCTTCAAGGATTTGGATTGGCAGGTAGGTGACTTGGGTTGCAGGTCTAGGTATTTTGATTTTTCAAAATCTTAATGAGATTTCTCTTTGCTTTTTCTGCTACAGGATTGGATCATAGCACCAGATGGGTATGCTGCATTCTACTGCAGTGGCGAATGTAATTTCCCTCTAAACGCACATATGAATGCCACTAACCATGCTATTGTGCAGACATTAGTTCATCTCATCAACCCAACAGCTGTACCAAAGCCATGTTGCGTTCCAACAAAGCTAACACCCATCAGTGTTTTGTACTTTTTGGACGATTCAAATGTTGTGTTAAAGAGATACAAAAACATGGTTGTTAAAAGTTGTGGTTGTCATTGAGACACAGCAGTTCCTACCACGTACTTGCTGTTGTTCCTCTCCGTCCATATGTTAAAATGAAAATTGTGATCTTAATAATTAAGTAGAAAACTAATGTTGACTGATCATTGACTGCTAAGTTTCTTTATTTTAAGATTTGAGAAGTGCCTTATAGCTGTTAAGTAATACTGCTTTTTAAAAAAAAAACGATATTTTAAAAAAACAACAAATTGAAAAATAAGTTGCCTTTGGACTGACAAGGGAACCTTTTCAGGTGTAAATCTCCGATTTCGTTGGTACTCGGAAAATTTAAAGGTTATTATAATAGAAGTCGGATGGCACTTGAAATTTTTCCTAAACTTAACATTTACTAGGGGTTTACTTAAGCCTGACACTGTTTTTTGCTCTAAATATCCCTCTACTGCTTAAACGGTTCAAAATAGAGCAAAACGGACAAAATTTTGGCCCAAAGGGCACTACTTTGACAAGTTACCCCTTACGACACTGCTTTTAAATTTTTCAAAAAATATTTTTTTCTAACATCTTACTCCTACCTTATATAGGGGAAAACTAAATGTCAGGTTTAGGAAAAATTTCAAGTGCCATCCGATTTCTACATAAATAACCTTCAAATTTTCCAAGTTTCAACGAAATCGGAGATTTACACCTAAAAAGGTTCCCTTGTGAGCAAAGTATCTCTGTCGAAGTGCTAAAGAGAGAAGCTTGCAGTGGAACTTTGTCTCACAACCCTAGTACCTGCTGAAAAACTGAAGACTTAAGTAAAGATGTAAAGCTTTTTATGTTCATTGGTCTCAGAGTTGCAATTTTAGATGTATCTATTTGTCAGTCACAACGCGACTTTCCTTACAAAATGTAAATAGTGCCAAGCCTTTCGTACATGTAGAATAAACAGCTGTTAAAAAAAGAGATTCATTGTGTTATTATTTAAACCACAGGATTAGCAGAAGTAGAAGACCTAGAAATGGTCCAATTCAGAATGCAATATATTATTAACAGCCTGGAATTTATTAGGTATCTCCATAGAAAATAAGTACAGTACTTCAGCAGCTGGAAAATGTTATGGTAGTTCTTTCTTCCTCATCAAATGAAATAAGTAATATTGACCCACATATCAATGAATGATCAATAAATATTTGCATACATAAAAAACAAAAACATATTTACATACACAAATTAGTAGGTCTTGAACAGAAAGTTTGAAAGCTAACATTTTAAGCATTTACAATGACAGCAATCATTTACAGTCAGTCAGACAAAATCTTCCATGCAAATTTACGTTCTGTTTATGGTCTCTAGTGAAAAGGATAAAAATAAAATAAATGAGTATAAGTTCTGTTAATACAACCTCATCCACACAATGTGTCACACCAGTTGCTCTCATACGCTTCAATTTCCACATGATTTCTTTAAAAGTGTAAGTTACCTAGTACCATCAAAATTGTGGCTTTTACACATATGCATCTAAAATTATAGTTATGTTTTGACTCAAAAGTAGATAGAATTTGACAAGGATGGTGAAGCGTTGTTACAGTTTAGTATCTTATAATAAAACAAAGCTCCACAGTGTCTGAAATTAGATGGTAATGGTACTCATTAATTGAAAGGTTCCTATCTAGGGGGATGTGCAGCAAACTCAGTATGTTAGCATCTACAATACAATGTGTAAAAATAATCCAGACAAAATATCCGACTTCATGATTTCATAATCATAGTTCTTTACAAATTTCAAGAAATAGTGCCAAATTTTACAATTGAGGGACAGATCATCTTAATATTCTCAGAATGAAAAAGAATTTCTCAGCCAATGCCTGTGTTAAGACGCTAAAATACCCAATTGGCACAGAATAAAGATAACACTTATTCACTCTCAGCACAAATACCATCCTTCTAAAAACACAAAATGAGTAAACCCACCTAACAATCATTTAAATCTTTGATAATTCAAGGTTACATTACATGACTACATTATTTGGTATTACATGTATGCGTCGCAATGGAGCTATTGCATGGACAAGTTTGTTTAATCATGAGCGAAAAAGTAGTTCAGATAAGAAAGAAAATATTTGCAGCAAATGCATCAAAATACGTTAAAAATACATGTCCTGTCTCTTTCATAGCCGAAAGTATAATACTATAATAATTAAAAAGCAAATCAAAATCACAAAATACAAATAGTTTCAACAGCGACAACTAGATGCATAAACTGTTCAGGACACTGTTCATTGGATATTCATAATTCACATTCCAAAATTGAATGACGATCAAGATATAATATGAATGTATCATAGGAAACGCAGAGGATCACAGTTATTACCAAACCAGCATGAACACAAATCACAGTAAGATCTGAAAATCTGTCTTTCAAGAAGAGCCAGGTTTTTGGAACTGCTAACTAATTTGAACAGCTCACAATTAAAAAGGTAACACATGCCAACATCAATACAACTGCTTGAAATGTAATAGCGGAAGCAATAAGTTATTATTTCGATAGTTTAAAAGCACCAGATCAGTTCAAGCAGTAGCTGAGTTTGGCATAAGAGGAATAAAAAAGTTCAATGTAAAAGATAAGTAAAAAAGGAGAACAGAAAAAAAGCAGCCAAAATTGTTCACTTTACATCTTTCAGTCCATTTTAAATAGGAATGTTTACAGCCACATCACTCATGAGACTGTGGTTCATTAACCACAAAATTATGCTTTTATTGTTTCTTTAAAATAATTTACGTTACAGGTAGTTTGATTAAGGCCTTAAAGCGCTAGTCAACAACAATCGCTTACATTTATGGCATCTTAATACGATTTGTGCACCGCAGGCAGCATGGCTAGCTGGCACGGCAGGGAGCGGCCTTGCCAGCAGAGCGCTCACAACCGTGTCAGTTTGTTTTTCCTTAAATTACAAGGGCCATATCCTTTTTGCTAGGAAGGTTGACTTTTTTCCCTTGCCAGAGACTGTTGTGAATGGTGAAGGCGTCAATTGTCACAGTAAGGTGCTTGGTGTGCACTTGAGAAAAGCATTTGCCTCCAGAGTTATATCTGAAAATATTAAATTTAATATTAAAGGAAAATGAGACAATTCAAAGCAACTATGTGGTTTAAATCTCAGGGTTTTACTTACTTAAAGAAACGATCAAACATGCGGTCTGTAACTTGCTTTGGGCCAGTGCCATACAATTTAAGAATTTCTTCTCCTTCAGGGCAGTATGAATATAACGCTCGAAATTGGAGGCCAGCATCTCTAAATAAAATAAGGAAGTGCTTCGCCTCTGATCGACCAATCTCTTCCAGAACTCTTCTTTTAGCTTCTTTATTTACTACTCCAGGAAAGACACAGTACTCAACAGCATTCAACAGAATACCACGATTTGATTTTGTTGCAGGTTGCTTGTAGAGACGAGGACCTAATAAGATGAAAAGTTTTAGTAAGATTAGGTCACAAACAGCGTGAACTATTTTCCAGCTTAATTTGAAACAAAAAGGAAAAAAGAGTCTACCATTATAATCCAGCATTGAGCTTGTAGCTGAACTAATATCACTTGAGCCATCATCAAACATTCTCCTCTTGGATGTAAGGCCGGGAGGAAGAGATCCTGGTCCTAAATGTTCAAATATTGGTTCATTAGCAATTTTAGATGACACAAAGAGGTGGATGCATAATTTGAAACTTAAGTGAAAAGGTGAACAAAATCTATGTCAAATAAAATTCAAAACAATTTCATAACAAAATATTTCAAAAGAACTACTAATTATAGATTTAAATAGTGATAGCATAATCAAAAAAATCAAGCAATTGCAAGAAAGAACAAATTTATAAATTCAACTACAGAAGAACTTCCACACATCTCTAAGTTTGCCACCACACACTACCTGAGGGAGAAGTGAGGTGTCGGCCTGAACTCATGCCAGGGGATGGAGCTCGCCGAGGTGGTGTGGCCCGGCCCAGACCTGAGTCTGTATCAGTGTAACGGTACACCATGCTGTCCTGGTCTGTGCTCGAACCTGCACACAAACCACCAAGCGTGCTACAAACCACCTTAAGTGCATTACATCACATCACTTCTTCTACTTTTGTACTTCTACAACTTATTAAAGAAGATAAAATTTATAGTTATAATCATTTACAATCCCAAAACCTTCAGTTGTATAAAAATACATTAAAAGTCAGTCCTAGAGGAAAACAAAAAAAAGGGATGAACAACCACAAGCCCTAGTAAGCAAAACAATGTTGTACACCTGTGAATGTACACATTCATTTCATGAAGGAAATAACATGTCATGAGACATGTAACTTTAAGGGAATGCACTTGCTATAAAATAAAAATGACTATACAACAAAGCTTTGAAAACAAAGGACAGTAGGAAAGACAGCCCACTCCACCACCCGAAAACAAAAGACAATAAGGTAAAAGAAATAACTATCAGATCAGAATATATGGCATGCAGAGTCATTACAAAATTGACTTTTCAACAATCGCCTCACATTAATCTAAAAACATTATCTGAAAGGTACTTCTCGTTGGAAAATATGAAATTTTCCCAATATGTCCACCTAGCTATACAAAAAGTTGTAGGTTTTTCATATATTTGTTTTACGATAACAAAAATAATAAAGGGGAGTCCAGTTACGACTTAATATACATCAAAAGAAAAATGAAGATGAGATAAAGGTCAAATAATTTGCAAGGTTTTTAAAAGAGGAAGTAAAGCATCTAATCCTAAGATCTTGTATGTCAGTTGTAGTACTGAAGAATAGCCTGCATTTTGCTAATCACAAGAAAATTATCGTCATTGTGCTGCTATACTATGCCTAAAATAAATAAGGAGGGAATTTCAACCTTTCTTGGACATTCTACTCTGAGGTTATCTGACATTCTAGCTAGAAACACTGCTGTCTATACCAGGTAAAAAGATAAAGGAGCAGAGCAGCTCAAAAAAGAGGACTTGGAATTTAAAAAGTCATAATGGGCAATACACATTGGCTAATACTAATGCCCTGGTTCTTGAAAAACATTTTCCCACAGTTAAAAATTAATCAGAAGAGAACAAAGTAGAAACCGACACCATGAGACAAAGATTTGTACTTCCACACCATGAAAGCTAAGACTTGAGAATTACACCAAATTCCAGCCCAAATAAATAAGCATGGCAGCATGCCAGTCCAAGTAATGATTGGCTGGAATGCTCTTACCGCTCAAATTCATGAGGGAGTTTGACTTGCGCGCACGCATGTTGGACTGATAAGTTGAATATTTTGGTCTTCCACGAGGTTGTGGTTCTGGCACATCTGAAATCATGTTGCGGACTTGAACACTTAGTTCGGTGTTCAGTAAAGTAGTGTATAAAGCCCGAATACTAAAGGGTAACTGAAAATCATAGCACTACATCATAGGTTCTGACACTGACTAAAATGTTGTGGGCTTTGCATTTCAACTATGTACAACAGATTCCCATAAACATGAATAAGGTTTATAATGTTTAAACATGGTAGTATATTAAGAACCACTCAATATTTTCCCTCCCAACAAATTGAATGTCTCAAAATGAAAACAACTGACGGTGCTCAAAAGGAAAAAAACAAAAGAAGGGAAAATGAATTAAGTTCAAAAGAATGTAAGTCTCTGGAGGCTTACCTCTGGAAGTCTTATAAGACCCTCGCCGACCTAATGCAGTGCTCCTGTTAGGAGAAGTTCCTCTTCCATCATCAGGAGAATCTGGTGGAAAGAAAAGGAGAAAAGTATCTTTCAGTAAAAGTTATAACATTGAAAAGCAAGTTAATTAGCTTAGTCAAGAAGAAACAAACACTACACAGCTCAACCACACTGCATACATGTGAAAGAGCTAAATTTTCAGCCACAACAATAGAGATAAAAAATAGAACAAACAAAAAAAGACATATTTGACTGAATAACATGCCTCACCTCTAACAAGAGAGTAGCTACGACCTGGTCTCATGCGACTTTGCCTTTCCTCTGAGCGTTGCCGATCAGCCAGGCTATCAGTGGAACCTCGATAATAATCTCGCCTCATGCTAGGAGTCAAGCTGGAATCTATGTGCATGAATGTTGCAAAGGACACAAGCATAAACAACACAGAACATGCCAAAAATCAAGAAAATTAATGCTAAAAATAAGCTTCACTTTGAAATTTTGCAAAACAAATAAGGTAAAAGCAGCAATTACAACAGCTGTAGTATCAAGCTTTAAAAGCTAGGAATGTGATAAATTAGACCAAATAAAATTTTAGCTACTACTCTTACAAATTCTTTAAAAAGTGTGCCAATTACTAATCAAATTTAAAACATCATAATGGCTAGATAAATACAGTACATAAAGAAACAGACATACAGAAGTCCAAACAACAATTATTTGAACAAGCTACAAATTGATAGTAACTAATAAATAAAACACTTTGAGAATGCAGAGAAAAATTAGTCATTTTTAATGACAATACCTGCTAGATTGGATGTGGAGCCCTTCTTTCCTCGGCTAGGTGAAAGCAAACCCTCAGCAAGGTCAACATTGCCACTGTCAACATGGATAGTCTTAGGCCTAGGCCTAGTAACTGTTTTGTTGCGCATCTTAGGAATTGATCTTACTGAGTTGAGCAAATCTTTATCCACAGTTTTACCCTAAAACCGAAAACAATACAAATGAACTACAACTGAACAATATTTCTCAATTGCTAGGATTTGAATTTAAATGTATGCACAACAAACCTCTCTTTCTGCTTCTTCAAGAGCTTTTTTCAATTTATGCTGTTCGAGAATGGACTGTCGGCGGATTCTTTCCTCTTCTTTCTTCCTTGCCTTTTCCTCCTCTTTCATTTTTTCTGACTCTCTTCTTTGTTGGGATTCCATTTCCTTTCTAGCTTTCATTTCTTCTTGCTGTTGCCGCCTTTGGAGTGATAAAAGCATGATGCGCTCTTTTTTTCGCTCCATTTCATCCACAGCATTCTTTTTGACAGGAAAATAAAAATTAGATTAAAACAGGCACAAATGCAGGTTCACTAAACTATCTTCAGCTTACAAAGTACTTACAGGATCAGGATTTGATAGCTCATTGCCAATAACGAGCCCAACGCCTGCGCCGGCCCCTTCACTATCTTCACTGCCAGAGCGTCTACTATGTCTGTCACGAGTTGGTTCATTAGACAATCTACTAGCAATATGTGAATGAGCAGTAATTTCTTCTACAGGGTTTTTTCCATGAGATTCATGATAGTATTCATCTCTCTCATTTCTGTTGGCATTCCTAGCTGGTGAAGATGTATCCTTATGGTCAAACAAGCGGGCCTGAGATTCAGTTGGATCCCTTCCAACACGTTCTCCAAATAATGCACTACTGTCAAGCACTTGTGTGACAGCTCTCTCCTGTTAAATATAATAGGATTATATAAATGTTTCCTCACACAAGAAGAAAAAGATAGTTGTGGGATAAAGGAATACTGCACCTTCTTTGGTGAAGCTCTCTTAGCACGAAGAGGTGGCTTTGGCCTTTTAGGAGTAGTGTCTTCATCAAATGAAATATAAAACCCTTTTTCAGGAGCTGCTTGTTCCTCCATTTCAACACGATTGTCAATTTCAAGTTCATCAGGCCGAGCATCTCCCGTCTTATTAAACATTGAAAGGTGAGACATAAATTATAGAAGATAGATAAAAATAACAGTATGAAATATAGATTTAAACAAGGTTGAAGTATGAATTACCTGGTTGCCAAACATATAAAACGCCTTTTTTGTATCATTATGCTGTGGCAAAGGATGCCTTGCACTGTTTGGTCGGGTCGGTGATGGAATTCGGTAAGTTCGGCTTCCTGAAGTTATGTGAATCTTACTGATGCCAGATGAAATATCATCACTGCTAGGCATATCTGCTAGGAAAACAAATATAACTTATCATAGGAAAAAGCCAAAACTTTTGACGATAATTGTAGTTTAGGTAAGCTTTGGTCATTGAATAATGTACACTTGCAAATATAATTCAATACCCTTGCCATTTAACAGAAAACTACACCACTTCCCCAGGTTATAAAATTATTAATCATGTATTGATTGCCTTTCTACTGTCCCTTAATTAGCATGCTATAAATTACATTCTATTCAAAGTAGAATCAAGTTCAAATCGGTTTGGAAAAAAAAACATATGGTGACAGGAAGTAGTGGAGGAATTAATTATGGAAAGCAAGCCTAGTAGATTAAGATAAGCAATATGCACCTTGTCGATGTGGCTCACCAATGAAGGAAATGCTTTGCGGTTCCATGTCGTCAACTGGGGGTGTTGGTAAGGCTGTGTGAACAGCAGAATTCCTTTGGGCATTTCTGTCATCTGAGGCAAGACTATGCTGTCGAGGTTTCACCTCAGGTGTTCTGTTGTAACAAGAATAGAAACATAGAACTAGGTTCAGATGGAAGCAAATGGGTGATAACTGACACTTAACTAGATAATTAACTACAGAGTAATTAAAACCCAAAGCTGATGCATTGAGAATAAAACTTTGCAACATATCATAAGGGGAAATAATAACAAAAACCATGCTCAATATAAAGACTCAAATGCATGTCAGCAGTTGAAAGCATCAAGCACCTGTGTATGGTTGGAGTAATTCGATGTTGAGGAGAAGCATTAACTGAACTGGGAGTACGTCTTGGAGGTGGGGTTGGGGCAACATCTCCATGCAGTTCAAAGCCCGAAGCTGAGGTATGGGTTATTGTCTGTGGCTGTTGATTATGCTGGGATCCATACACATTGAGACTGCTTAGTCCAACAGAGGGGGTAGGGTGATGGGATTGGTGGTCACCATTGAGGTACCTCACTTCAGAACCAGTACTGGTTTGGTGAAGAAGGAAGCCTGTTTGAGGCTTCCCACTCCTAAAAACAAATGTGCATGGTGTGCATTAGCTCAGGCTGCCTCTCTCAACGCACACATGCTTGTGAGGTGCATGACGTGCCACTGATACACGTGATTCTTTACTATAAAGCAATAAAGCAAGAAAAAAAAGCAAATCGATTTACAAAGGTTATGATAATTGCTCAGACTACTCACACGTCACCCCAAGTCCTTAAGTCCTGAGGATGAGGCTGAGTTGTTGTTTGTCCCCATGTTCGCCGTTGACCTTGTTGAGGTTGAGGTACAATTTGCATTGTCTGTTGAGGTTGCATTGACTGTTGCGCTTGCATTTGATGTTGTTGGGCTTGCATTTGATGTTGTTGAGCTTGCATTTGATGTTGTTGAGCTTGCATTTGGTGTTGCTGAGGTTGCATTTGATGTTGCTGAGGTTGCATTTGATGTTGCTGGGGAGGCATATGGTGTTGGGGTTGTTGGCTTTGTTGATACTGTGTTTGTTGCATGGGCTGCTGTTGATGAGGATCGTGAAGATAAAATTGACTATTTTGTTGAACCAGACTCTGCAGCTGTTGGTGCTGCTGATGAAGTGGGGACCCATACCCACTTTGCACATTAGATGTGTTCATCTACACAGAGAAAATCATTACATGATAATACACAACACTCTGCAGTAATAAGAAATCAGATAAAAATTCAGCTTTTCCTAGAGGTAGAAATGTTGAAAGAATATACAAATACAAAACAAGACGTACCATGCTATGCATTTGTGCTTGAGGATGTTGATTCATTTGATGCTGAGAAAACGCAGTCTGTTGCAACGGTGGTGAATTAGAGTAGCCATGGACCATCTGATGTTGATTAATTAAAGAATGCATGGGTTGAGGCTGTTGCTGTTGATATGTAGGATGAGTTCTAAGCTGTATGGGGGGAGGAAGGTTCTGATGGTATGAAGGCTGCTCTGTGTGGTACTGGGGTTGCTGATGACTGTACGGCTGACCATGTTGAGTAATATTTGCTGGCTGAGGGGTTTGTTGTTGAATTTGGTTCTGCTGCGTAGCTAGGCGTTGTAAATCAGCTTGAATTTCATGAAGGCTAGTATTCATCCTTTAGAAAAAGAGAAAAAAATTATACTGACTTTAAATTCTATACTTGTTAATGCCATACACATCTCCCAAGAATTGGATAGCTTACTGTGCTATTGATTCCTGGTAATGTTCAACATCCATGTTGTCAATATCAGCTCCTTGACTAAGAACATCATCATTGTCCTGAAAATTTATTCAATAGCATATTAACTAACTTTAATTTACACTTTAAGTAAAACAATCACATGAGTAGCATATAGGTATTGGTATTATCAGTAAGAAACAGATATGTTGGTTTAAAAAATAAGTTATGGGGTACTTCTACACTTGCAAAAAGACTACTTATTCATGCAACCGCATGCTGTACCTGTTTTGATGCCTTGCTTGAACTATCTGAGCTGTCCTTGCTCGAGTCTGAACCTGGGCTCTTTACTAGTTGATTCTTGCCCTGAAAAGGTTAGATACCACATGCACCCACTGTTAAATACATTCTTAAAAAAGAGGGGGAAAAATGTGCAAGTACACACGCCTGTTTTCTACAAGAAAATCCAAAAACCAAAGTTGACAACAGAATGTTAGAATGATAGTGTCACCACAACCACAACTGTTTGTACTTCCAATTAATATTTTTGTTGCAAAATGAGACTTGAGTGTGAAGAATGAATTGGTTACAGAGGAAACAAGTTACTTTCTCCAGATGCTAAATTTAACCATTACCATGTTACATAAAGAGAATTTAGAGAGCAAACCTTTGTAACAGCTTGTAGGAAAGCTGCTTTACCAACACGTTGTCGCTGTTTACTGAGTTCAAGTTCCATCTTTCTTTTATCACTTTCAATTTGGCGTCTTTTTTCTTCTAATTTCAAGCGGACATTCAGTAACTGCGATGCCATTGCTGGACTTCCACCACTGCCCCCTGAGCTGATATCTTCTGCGATGTGGTCTAAATAAGATATAAAAGCCAAACATTTTTCTAAGAACTGTAACAAAAACAAAATACTTTCATTATAGATAGATAATAAATAAACTAACCAGAGTTAGGACTTGGTTCAGACGAAGTATGATTTGAGCTTTGCTTTTTCCAAGTGGTAGTGATGTTAGTTTGAGGTAGCGCAGCAAAAGTAGTAGTCTTCTTCTCAGGCGGAGCACTGTGACCATTTGATCGACCAGAACTTTCCTCAGTAGTATAACCTATATGTATGCCTAATGTTGACTCTTCTGCTTTAGATTTATTATTATGTCTAGAGAGTTCTGCAAAATTAGTTGACTGTAGACGCAATTCTGTCATGTCACCATCAACATGATCACCCTGGAAAATATTTAGTAGATGAGATGCAGATAGATAGAAAACAAAGTAGTCATCACAAGAAATAACTGATTTAATGGATAAAGTAAAATAACAACGTTAGGGGATAAAATGGGTAGGGGCTTTCTAAAAGCACTAGGGGAAACAACAAGCAATATTTGGCAGACAAAAGTAAAAACATAAAAGCAGAGGATAAATGCTGATTCCTTACAGTGCACTTTGGAAGTACCTGCTTGTATGGTTTCTCTGGATCACTCTTCTCACTGCCAGACCGTGAGGGTCCATTCAGTGTGCCATTGCTGCTCAAGCTGCGGCCTACATGGACTGCTGGTTCTTTATCAGGGTTACGGCCCAAAAGGTGCAAATTTTCATGTGACCCTCCAAAGTTTTCTAAGGTGAGCTGCAAGTGTACACAATCATGCATTCAGATGATAGTTGCAAAACTACGTGAAACACAAACTGCCACAAGTGCCACAAACTGCCATTGGTGCAGTGCAAAATTGAATCCTAAACACTTCCATAGATGTGTTATCAAAGCAAATCTACTATACCACTCTAAGGGAATTGCAACTAGAAAATCTAAACAAACAAAAAACAAAACACTCAAACTGAATTTTACTGGGTGTCAGATTTACATACCTGTGAATCCTCAGCAACTGAATTTCTACGGGAGCGTCTTCCAGCGTATGAGCTTCTACGCTGGTCTTCCCAGTTACTTGGTCTACCTGCAGGAAGGCTAGCTCCTACACCAATGTCCACCTCACTTTCGGAGCTGCGATCTCTATGCCGTGCTCTCACAGGAGCTGTGGGTTCATCACCTGCGACGGAACTAAGAGTCGGTATGCCCCGACCTCGATGGACCACGAAGGCTTCATCACTTCTGAAACAAGAAATTCTTAGGTAACATCAAACCTTCCATCACAATCTATGGTTAAGCATTAGTGGTACCCACCTGTCATCTAATGCATCACCTGAGCCTTTATTTTGTGACCTTTTTAATGAAGATGTACCAGTATGGATGGTAGATTTAGAACCTGTGAGAAGGAGAACAGAGTAAAACAAACTTCAGAATAGTTCTGTTTTCGATAATATCAAAAGGTAAAAGATATATTTTCATTTGAGATGTCTTAGGGATACAGTTAATAGCATGGGAAATAGATAATAGGGGCGAGCAACTGAAGATAAAACAAATAAAAAGAGGCAGAAAAGGCAAAAAGATTTGCACACATAACTGCAGTATAATTTCCAGAATGTGACCTTGCTTTCAAAAAGTTCTTTTAAAAAGACAATTATTGGAAGATGAAGCTTACAGATTTGATTAGAAATGCAACTGTGTAAGTATGCAGTTGCCACAGATAATAGAATTTAGAACACACGACATTCAAAGACAGAGACACACAGCTCACCCCCAGCAACTTCGTAAAGAAACAAAAACTCATTTTAGGACAAAGCAATAAGCAAGTATCTTCTCATGACTAGCTACATAATCTAGAATAAATGCCTGTTTAAATAATCTTATTTGATCTAGGGTAAAGGCATACACAAAAACATATGAAAATGACTGACATGCATTTCACCCTGAAAATACATAGAAGAAAAAGCATTATTGTAGCTACACTAGACTCCAAAAGCAGCATCATATTCCTACAAAATGTTAGAAATGCAATAAAATATATAGATAATATTTTTAAAAATAACGTTATGCAAAAAACAGAAGATGAAGAAAACCTACATGCAACCATAGAGAGCAGCAATTTTTTTTTAGATAGAATATGCTTCAATGAAAGTAATTCACATCAGTCTATAAAGTCTTCAAGAAACCAGGGAAGGTTTATGAAATACCAATAGCATGTGAAGAGTTATTTCAATTTTTAAAAGCACGAACTAGAAGAAGCCAAATGTATTAAACTATTCAAGATACATAAATAAAGTCAGAAAAATGCTAGCATAGATCGTAACCGCTACATTTCATTCTTGCTTGTTCAACAAAAATATTTTGAATACAAAGAAAATTTAATTTAAAGTATACACTCCTACAACTAATTTTGGTATAGAGAGCACGCACACACAGAACTTGGGAGTAGCGAAACAAGGTAGCAGGAGAGGGCAGCTACATCCACCCTGCTACACAGGCCGTGCAGAACCAGCGCCCTCCCTACCTGAGCCTGAGCCTGAGAAGCCAGGAGTGGAGATGTCAGACAAATTGCTGCGCAAGTCCGGTATCACGCTCACTGACTGAGGGAGACAGCGCTTGTGTGCCACGCCTTGACTATTGCGCGGATAAGCTGTACCATCCAAGTCACGAATCACATCACGCCACGCCGCAAAAGATCAAAGTAACCACACCACATCATTAAGGCAGAAGAAGCATTAAGTAGTGGACACATAGTCAATGAGCATTTGTAGAGAAAAAATAATTAGTAGGCCAATCTACCTTTCATAAAATGACAAAATGTGCTAAAACTTATCTAGAAATCAAAATGATTTCATTTGCTTGTGTCTTTAGAAGTATACTTTTGCAGGTGCAAACAACGGTAAATGCTCATGACCAGGGTCTACCACTATTCAGTGCAAAAGGGGTTGGACCTGAGATGTTGCGGGATTATCTTGGAAAATTATTAGGGAGGGAATAACCTTTTTTCTACCGGGGTAGTCAGCCATTAGGATGCTTGGGGATTGTTACAGAAGTAATTGCACACCACTCATTGGAATAATTAAACAATGAGATTAAAAAATACAAGTTGATGTTTGTCATGCAAATTTTACAATTAATGATGAAAACCTTATCACCAGTGCACACAGTACTTGAATTCGAAGTACACATAACAGGATCCATCTTTTGGTTTGCTGAGAGCCAGCTCAAAATGGTCATTATTTAAAA